ACCATCATCAGTTTTTATGTGTAGCGTTGTTGCTGCTTTAAGCCTTGGCATGCATTTTTTGCCGAGCAAGAAAATGCATGCCAAGGCTTAAAGCAGCAACAACGTTACACATAAAAACTGATGATGGTGGAAAAATACACCGAAACGTATTTTGATTGATAAATAGAGACAATAAATGACTGAAGCCCAGGAATTGATTTTGATTTGGAATTGAAACACAGTCAGGAAAGTATGCACAATGTTCAATCGAACTTTGGGTTTTAAATGGCAAATAATTAATAATGCAATCAAGTTGTATTGAATTGGACATGGCAGGACACTTTTATCTGTTAACCCCTTCAAATATTTCAGGCACCCGATATCAGTGACGGCTACTTATCCAGCGGACCGGCCACAGATGCTACAACCCCAGAAGACGAAAGTAAACCTTCAGATGGCTTAGAAGGAGATGATGGACTTGACGAAACTGAGCAACCACCTGAAGGTGGCGTACAACTCAAAACACTGCCGGCGGATCTATTAGAAGTTGCCGAAGAAATATCGGCTGGAAAATTCGAAGAATCTGATGCTGAAGATGGGCATGGAGGCGTTGCCATTGGGCAAAGGGAAATTCCGTTTGATGAGAAAAGATACGGGGGCGAAGTTCCCGTTGACGTAGAGAATAGAGCTTTCGGCCTGGACGAAGGTCCTGCCGACCTGCATATGACTACTACCGTTACCAGCTCAGGAACCCTTGAAGTTGTCACTGAAGGACCTGGAGGGACAATCGGTACCGTTATTGTAGCCGTTTCTCGTGTGAGTGTCTAGAAACTTGTCTGATTTCACTGAAGGAACCACACTAACCTACACGGAAGAAGGCAACATAGAAGTAGTCACCGAAATGACTGATAACTTCGGAGGTCCAGGCCGAATGTTGGACAAGTTCGCTACGAAGCCTTTGTCAGAAGGGATTCCTTTCAGGTCAAATGATGCGATTCCATGCGCCCCAAGCGCCACATGTGAGACTATGGAGCCGGTGGCTGGATACGAAGTCTGCGAGCCAACAATGATATGCCACAATTTGGACAATGCAGAAAAAGGAACATTGAAGGCCTTGCCCGTGGCATCGAGCATGATTTCAGGTTTAGAACTGCAAAAAAGCTTGAATTTGCCTCCAAACACGTCCGTTTCAGGTCCTTCAGGCCCCGAAACTGAAACCCCGTATACTGCCAGCACGACAACAGCTGAAGGCGAGCTAACCAGCAAGCTTGGGTCTGGATCTTCTGGGATTAGGCCTCAATTTGACAGGACACCTGACCAAACATCCAGCTATGGAAGGCCAGGAGTTGGTAGGTTTGAACATGTTTGCAGTACCGCACCTTCAGTTGTATTATTGGGGCTACAGCTATGGAAGAACCGCTAGAAGAGCTGCAGGAACCAGTAGACCAGCACTCAGGTATGGCATCTAGATTCTTGTCACTGGCAAACTTGTTTGGGCGTATTTTAAACAGTCGCGATGCCCTTAAGCGGAAGTCAAAGACTCGCCAGCTGTGTTTTTTGGACTCTTAAAATCTATTTAGAATTTGAATGGATGATACTTTCGCTTTTGAAGTCTGTCTCAACGATAGACTGTTGATAACTTTCAACCTACCGTTTGCATTTCCACTCCCTACTGCTTTTCATGAAAATAGTTCGTCAAAATTAATTCAATAAAAAGCTAAAGGAGGCTAAAGACTCAAGTGGAGCTGAGCTGAGAATAACTTTAGGCTTAGGCAGGCTCAAATAATGTTTGTTTCAGTTCGCTCGTAAAGTTAACGTTTTGCATTTTCTTGACGAACCAATTGAAGATCATGTTTGGGAAGGAAAAGTGATTGCGTTGTTTTTAGCGTTTTCATTCAAGCGAATGAAATGAAGCTTCAAGTTGCAAATATACACTTAAAAACTTTGTTAGTGCTGCTAGTTAGGTACTAGAGGTGAAAATCCTATAGCTGCTAGTCGTATAGCCTTTGATATTAGAAAATAAACTGGAAGTTTTGTGCTTTTGATGCAAAGTGGGTCGTCTTGGACATATTTAAAACAGTAGAGTTAAACAATTTCGCTACTTATCAATATTTTCTCAAATCGCAGAGCAACTAGCAGGAGATCCAAGTGGAAAGGCGTCGTCCAGGGAAATAGGAGTCTTATCTAGCGGTGCAAGAGGTACCATAATAAAGAAATAACCTTGCAAGGACTAAAATGTACTTTTAGCAACTGGAGCTGACTCAACAACTGGGCGCGAAGGGTTACCTTCGGAAGGTGAGTTATACTCAATTGCCGAGTTTTTCAATTTTTGCTTATCTATGAGTATAACGAAAACAGTTAGTGCAGCTATGAAGGTTTTGTTAAAACTAAAATAAGAATCTCCCAGGTGTTTAAAAGGACGTTGAAAGGGGGCAAAACATTACACATATTCCTTCTGATTCTTATTGTTAGCAAGTGCTCAAATCGCTTACTTTATCCAATTTGCGAGCTGACTCAGGTTTGAATATGCTGTCTAGGAAACACTATTCTGTGCGGAATTTGAAGTATCTTTTAGCACTTGATCAAACAGATACTGCGATATTCGTTGAGGCAAAAGCATACAATCTGAACGCGCTTTTATTAAGCAAAAATGTGTGGTTTCTCGGCCATTGATGGTGAGTTGTTCAAAAAACATTATTTTCTGCTAAGTCGATGCATTTAAATGAAACAAAAACGTCCAGAGCTTTCCATTTCGTAACTGGAATCAACTGATTTTTTTTTGAGTTGATGCACTAACCCGCAGGCCTCTTTGTAAAATCTTGAAACATTTATGGTTTTTGCATCCAAAAAAATTATATTCTTCTGCCAACTGATGATTTTGGACATTCATGGACTTTTTACCTCAACAAAACGTATTTTTTTGGAAATATCGTGTAAGCGCTCAGATGGATTGTATTGAAACTTGCTTTGGAATGTTTTCTACCTCCACTGCTGATGTGCAGAACATCAAGAAATATATATTCGAGCTTCAATCGAACGACTCAGGATAAACAGACCATTAAATATCCAAATTACTCAGAAGACATGCGACTTTAACAGTATACACTTTTGTCACACAATTTCATTGTTTTGATTATCGGATAGTCAAGAATTCTGCCTAAGAATTGGAAATCGGAAATGTTCTTTTGATTTTTTCCAAACATGCTATCATCAACAAAAACATGACTATTTCAACCCGAAAAAACTGTTTAATTAATATTAGGTACCACATCGACTGCAGGAGAATTGAAGAGCGGCGAGGTGTTCACTCCAGACCAAGTAGGGTCCGATTTGGAGGAAGCCTTTGTAGCATCAAAATCTTTGCAGGTACAACATGCTTTGCTAGATTGCATTAATAGCTAAAGTACTGAAAACTATCGAAAAATTCACCTTTAAAATTGGAGAAAAACTAATATTTACAAATAAATACAATTTGATAAAAAGGGAACAGACATCGGCGCCGGGGTGGGAGCGGGAGCAGTGGAGCCTACAGTCAGCGGGGGAGCAGATGGGAGAAGTGCAGAGGCCGGAGGAATAGCAACTATACTGAAAAATGCCTCCCAAGGTACCATTTAATGACTGCTTAAAATGCCATTTCACTATTTAGAAGCGCAAATTTTCACAACAAGGTGGTGCAGAGCCCAAGGAATCAGAAATAGGCGCAGTAAAAGCCAGTGGTGTTTTCACAGGTAAAACTAAGGTCTCTAAAGGACGGCTGTTTAGAACTCAGTGTGTTTAATAGCTGGAGGTGTTGCCCAGTCGGTGCAGTTCGGACAGAAAGGCTCAAAACGTAAGTAAAATAACGAGAAAAGTTCAGGAGTTGGTGGGTAAATTCTGGGATATTAAATTAGCCGATGAAGGTGCTCCTGATACAACACCTTTGCCTGTAACAGACTCAACTGGTATCAATTGGACCCGTGAATGTGCTTGTCAATCAAAAGATCAAACAGATCAGTCATGTCAATGTTGCGAGTGTAAAGTAAGTTTTATTTCGATTTTTGCCCAATTTCTAAGTATCTGTAGCTTCTAATAACTCCTCCATTCCAATCACGGCTTACTGTGAGCTCAGATTCATTGATTCAGTTTTCCTATCCAGGTCATGTCAGACCTGCTGCTTTATCATGGAAAATGTGTATAGGTTGTTTGGGATGTTAAACGAATATATTTTTCCTTTGCTAGACCATCGGGGTAACAACATCCGGTGATAAAGAAACCTTAACCGAAAAAGACGAAGAAATGTGCAAAATTCCTCAAGAAACACTCGACGGTGCGAAGACCGACACTGATTCAGAATTTGTGACCATCAGTGAAACTACCGACCATGCGTTTGCAGAAGTACCAAGTGAAACGAAACCAGGTAAAGAAATCTAATTTGCTCTACATTTAGGAATGTTTTCCAAGCAAGGAAAACATTCCTAAATGTAATTTAACCGGCAGTGAAAGCCTTCATAGTCTAATTTGCTCTCTTTGTAAATATACGCTCTTAAAGCTGCGCTTCAACTAAGAAATAAATTTACTTTAGAACCTCAAGACGCAGTCGAAGTGCCCTCCAAATCCAGCTCACCATTCGGCGACAACATAATATCGAAAGAAATAGTGATAACGGAAGATCTACTGAAAAGATATCCGCAACTGGCAACTCTTTCTGCTCCATCACAACAACAAGCATTACAAAAACTTGGCATCAAACAGTCATTGAAGGAAGCAATTGTTGTTGATCGAAGTATGTTGGAAAAGCATCCCGAGCTGATTGGAAAGTCTCCCGAAGAGCAGCAAAGCATTCTAAAAACCATGGGCTACAAGCCCTCAAAGGCTATAGAGCCAGATATAGCAGTAGATGAGGACAAGCTGGCCAAGCACCCAGAACTGGTAGGCAGAAGCAACTCGGAGCAGCAGCGCATTTTGCAGAGCTTGGGTTACAAACCCGCATTGATTGTTGCTGTTGATGACGAGATTCTGCAAAAGCACCCGGAATTGGCAGATAAGACTCCTGAAGAACAGCAATCTCTTCTGAGAGAATTAGGCTATGCGACCTCGAGCCCTTCTAAAGCGATACCCGCAGAAGACGATGTCCAACTCCGGCAAATAGACTATGACACTCTTCAGCCCAGCACCTCTAAGGTTGCCCCAAGTACAGACGAATTCAACGTACCACCTGCAATAACTGAGCAGCTGCTCGCCAAACATCCCCAGCTGGCAGGCAAAACTACCGAGGACCAGCAGAAAATTCTTAGAGATCTTGGATACTCGCTTCCTAAAGAATCTCTCCTTCAAACCGTTTCGCTCACCAAAGAAATGCTTGAAAATCATCCAGAGCTGCAAGGCAAACCCTCTGCAGAACAACAAAAAATCCTGAAAAGTCTGGGCTATACCAAGAAACAGTCGACAGTTTCTTTCAGCAAAGACCTAACTGCGAAACACCCAGAACTTCAAGGCAAGAGTGTCGCAGAACAGCGAGAAATTTTGAAAACTCTTGGCTATAATGGGGATGATTTAAGGCCTGGACTTTCTGCTACTAAGCCTGAAGCCATTCCAGGAGCGGGCTCGGCAACTGCAAAGGCAGAGCTACTATTAAAGCACCCAGAACTGGAAGGAAAGAGCTCGGCAGAGCAACGTGAGATCCTGAAAAATCTGGGCTATTCTGCAGCTGAAGCCCAATCCCTTACCGAAGAGTTGCCGCAAAAGCCCTCAGAATTACTAGGCAAAAGCGCAAGTGGAGTAGAAGCGCCAGCAGAAGAACCTGAATTGCCCTCAAAAATAAGCCGGGCGATTTTAGAAGCCCATCCAGAACTTGCTGGAAAGCCCGTGGAGGAGCAAAAGAAAATATTGGCACAAATGGGTTATACAATTGAAGAGGTTATAGAAAAGAGTGAGTCTAAGAAAATATCAGCAGAAGCATTCGAATCGGCACGAGACGTGCTAGAGGGCCATAAGTCAGATGCACCATTCTCCACTCCCCAGCCATCATCATTCAAAGATGTCTCGGTTACGGGCAAAGCTCCTTCTCAAGCAGCAGCTGTACCATCAGATTTTTCAAAGAAATCGAGCGCAGTCATGGACAAATTAACCCCCGAGCCTTCATCAAAAGACGTCTCCATATCTTGTAGAGCCCCCTGCAGGTCAGCAGCCACAATACATTCGCCAGCTCCAAAGGACAGCGACCAAAACATAGCGCATGTTGGGGACGTGTCATCGGCAAGCCTTACGAAATCGCGCACAGTTTCCCTGCAGAAGAAACCGTCTTCACGGGACGACTCTGCTTCTTGCAAAGCCAGCTGCAGAGCAATATCAGTGCAGAGCCACGGCAGCAAATCCTCGAAGGATGTGAAGGAAATTGTAGCTGCACGATCAGACACTACAACAACCTCTTCGTCGTCGGATGCTCGGCTTAAGGCAAAGTCGAAGAAGGACAAAATGAAAGAACATCCGGGCGAAGTGCCGTCAATAGTATCGCAATTGTCGGATAAAGAACGTCCGGTTCCCGGACCGACTGCTAAAAAACCGAGGAACCATCGAAAACGCCGGGCCAAAGCAATCGATTGCATGAGATGCGTTTGCCCCGACCCATGCAAATGTGCAGTCTGCACGGCTGATAAAAAGAAACAAGCGTTGAGCAGGCCTGCTAGGTCCTGCGACTGTCCTCCCAATATGTTTATGGTACCTCCAATAGTAAGTTCAATTTCACCATCACTGAGCCACTTCCTCTAACCGTTAATTGGACATTTTTAGATGATGATGTCTCCCATGCAGATGACGTACAGTATGCCTCCCACTGGACATGCACCTAATTGCAGATGTAACGCTTGCATATGTAGGGACATGCTTCCTAAACCTGAAGTCGACAGCAAGCCTGAAGCTGAATCAGCTACATCTGACGATACAGAGGCAACAATGGCAAGACAACTGAGAAGCCATCCTTCGTCTTGCGAGTGTGTTGATTGCCTCTGCTTGCCGAAAGTCCACAAACTCGCCCGTACCAAGGAGTATCCCATAGTGCATGACACCAAGCAGGTCTATCAGGTTAAGGTAAACTGTGGAACGTGTGCAAATGCGCAGAATGCTCGCCGATATGTTGAACAACAGCAGCAGCTAAATCGATCGAGAATACCCATATCTACAACATCGCCAAACCCCCCGCGGGTTAAATCAAACCCTGAGCAGAACATCGCCAGCCCGGATAAGGGAGAGGCAAGCCAACCAGAAGCTTCGGGGGTCTCTGCTGTGGCAAGCACTTACAATTCAATATCGTGCGATTGTGCTCGATGTGCTTGCGCTGATTGTCCCGACGATGCCAAACGGCCCCCCAAACCAGAAGCTTGCGAAAGTCAGGCAAAAACCAATGCGGATGCAAAAGGGGGGCAAAATTGCTGTTGCCCCAACGTGCCGTGCAGTTGTCAGCCATGTACGGTCGAAGAATTAACAAGAAAACTGCGAGATGCTGAGCAGAAGTTAGCTAACGCTTCGCCGAGCGGTGCACCTCCACCACCCGGTAGCGCTCCCCTAGAAAAACCGGCAGAAGAAGACACTGAATCTTGTAATTGTGTCGAATGTGTCTGCCCTGGAGCGGATTCTATGCCAGCTAAGGCGTTGCCAGCAGGAGAAGGTCCGCCAGCAGAAACACCTAAGCCTCAAAGTGATGACAGTGGGGCTGTAGCATCGCCTGACGCTGCAGGAGCACCTGCAGCTGCAGGTGCTGGCGATGAAGACTGCAACTGCAACGTTTGTGCGTGCCCGGGAAGTACCTCATTGCCACCTAAATCAGGACCAGGTATGTTGGCAATCTGATGCGAAAAAAATGCTTTGTTTGTGATGCAAGTGGAAATTTCCCCTTGGAAGCTTACATTTTTGCATTCATAGACCACTTCTGGGGTTGAAGTAATTTAAAAAAATCCAGTGTTTAC